ACCAGTTGTAATTGCTTCAGCCTGACATTTACTCCTTTCCACACAAGACTCCTGACTACTTTGTCATTCTTATCTCCTTTTCTAAGTACTTTAGACAGACTGTACAGAAGGAGCCAATGGGACACAGCTCAAAGTGATGAGAAACAGCTGCAAGCATCCATTAATCAAAATACGGAATGTAAGAAGTCCGAATCTAGGAAAATTGGAAGCTGTCAAAAATTAAATAAAACACACAAAGATCAATATCCTAAGCAATCGTGAGCTGAAATGGATTGGTGTTGACCACTTTGAATCTGACAAATCATAGGTTTATTATGCAGGGAACAACAAATGGTGTCCCATTCATCATCAAAAAAAAAATACGTCGGCACTTCTGGTAAGATGGCAGACTAGGCAGACACACTACATGGACCCTCTACAACAAAAATATGAAAGATTATATGGAACAGACACCGATGAATATCCTGGAACCCTGAACTTCAGAAGCAAGGTTAGGGAAGTGGACTGAGTGCTTGCTGGGAAGAGTAGCTGAGAGGAATGGTGAGAGAGGGAAACTGACGTGAATTGCCGGCCAGACATGGTACTACCATCTTGAGCCTTTGTGAACAACTTTGGCAACAGAAGGAGGCCTGACAGAGGAGTCACAGGCAACTGGAGAGGTGCAATTCCTTTTCCCCACGTTTCCCTGGTGATCAGCTTGCACCCTCACATGCCCTCAGCACAGCCTCTACTTTCCTGGAGCCATGCCAACGTGAGATGGGGGCTGCTCCCTCAATTTGGTGTGTGGTTTTGGTGCCTGGATTCAGTTGGGCTCCGCTTAGAACCTATGGGACCTGCAGAGCCACCAAACCGGTTGTCATGTGGTCCCTAACAGACACTGAAACTAGCTCCATCACGGGCTACAACGAACTACTTCCAGATTGAGCGTCTTGAACATAAATAACACCAAGGCCAATAGGGACTCCTTCTAGGGCCAGGAACTTCTCTGTCACATCCCTCCCATACCCAACACTTAAGCTCCTACAAAGTTACCTACAAAGGAGAACCATTAAGACTAATCTCTGGTTGCACAGGGTAGGGAATAGACACGATAGGTCAGGTGTTGCGGGGGACAATACACAAGAAGGGGGAGGGATAGGTTGGGTGTTTGGAGAGGGGACAATATACAAGAAGGGGAGGGATAGGTCAGGTGTTTGGGGGGGGGGACAGTACACAAGAAGGGGGAGGCGAATGGAAGAACAAGGCAGATAGGAGACCATTTAAGCAGGTTTGCATGGGCTAAGTGGGACAGAGGTAAATAATGATATATGCTCAACCTTGGAACAGCAGGGCTCTGGGATACAGGGATTCAGGCATAGTCTGAATGGGTAAAAGAGGGGAAGTAATGTTAACATGCTTGACTGTCTTATGAATCTTGGTTACCCTTGCCTACTATTGTAAAATAGACACTTGAAGGGGAGAGAAAGGAATAGCAACAAACATCACTATAGAAAGCTTATGTCTTTCACCATATAACTGATTGCAATACCTAACAGAGGGGATAGAACTTGCCCAGTTAAAGAGGCTTCCTGTAGAGCCTTTGCAATGTATAAGCCCTTAGGTGGGATCCTGATCCCCATCCAGAATCTTCTGAGGTGGGAAATTTCCACTTGAAAAGACAAGCAGACCAGCCTGTAGCAGCTAGAGGAATAGCAGATACTTCTTGAAAGAAAGACCAGCAGGAAATTTTTTTTTAAAGGGCAGTCTGATTGACTACAAGAACAAGCAAGTTGTTCACCAGGGAACCATCAAGGCAAGCAATCAAGTCCCTTCAGGGCAAACCCCCTTCTAAGACTGAAACTCAAAGGGAATATACCACGAGTAGGCAAGTAATCTTGCTGGTGACCACATTAGTCTACAAATAAGTGGAAGTGGGGGGAAAGCAGCAATGAAGATGTGGGCTGAGTGTGACCATATTCAATAGACTCCTGTCAACCTGGAGTGAGACCTGGTTGGCCAGCAATATGGTGAGACCTGGGGACTCCTGAGCCCATGGACAGGGACATAGCCACAGAGGACTAGGGCAGAGAGTGAAGCGACCAGATGATATTAAATGAGGGGAGATGCACAAGAATGCCCATACTTGCAGAATAGTATCCATTTGACCTAGCTTCAATGGCTGGATGATCAGAACTTGACTAGAAGAAGAAAGAAGAGGAAAGCGTAATCTGCTAGTTTGATAAACTTGACCTATACTTATGGATGTAGTAGCTTTAAAGAGGGAACGAATCTTCACAGCAAGGATCATTCCCACCCCACCCCTGTACATAGGGTTGACAGGGGGTGGGCAACTTAGACATTGGCTACCTGAAATGGGGGACTATAAAGGCATGAAGTAACTGGCTTACAAGTTTTCAAGAGGGAGTTTAGTTTCAGAGGGTGCAGGCAAAGGTAGACTCTCCACTGAGTGGTTTTCAACCTGTCTAGCCAGGGCTGGTGAAAGGAGATAGGGATAAGACTCTGTGGTTCAATAGTGAGTAATTGTTATCAGGACTGATTGCAACTGTTGCAAATGTAAAGGCAGATGTTTGTAACAAAAGGAGGGAAGTGGTTGATCTTGCAGTCTAGGAGCAGAAGACCCTGGGACCATGAAGGGAGAAGAGCGGAGTGCAGGACCCTACCCAGAGAAGCAGTGATGCTAGAGTTGGAGGCAGAGACAATGACATGGCGATATGGAGTGGCTGAGGACTCTAGAGGGGCTGTGTGCTGGTGGCCAGGGACAGGCTTGCAGGGTGTGCCCTTTGGTTGTTTGAATGATTAAGTGTTCCTGAGTGCTTCAATGTACATCCAAAAAAAAAAACCCACAGAAGGAATGGAAGCAAATGCTGTTGAATGATGATGCATGGAGGGGACTGTAGTCATTGCAGTGAAACAAAATACTATAGGATGAGTATAAAGCTGATGTTCTCCCATGTAAACTATCACTCAATTCACAATAAAAACTTAAAAAAAAGACTAAGCACTGGTTTCTCAGCAGAAATCATGTAGGCAAGAAGACAATATGGTGACGTATACTAAACTCTGAAAAAAAATATTTGCCAACCAAGATTCACATACCCAGCAAAGCTGTCCTCAGATGCAATGGTGAAATTAGGATGTTTCCTGATAAACAAATAAAAGGAATTTGTAATGACCAGACCAGCTTTACAAAAAGTGATAATGGGTTTTCTTTGGACTGAGAATCAACAACAGTAGACAACTTGAGATTACCATACATAACAACACCTAGAACACAATCCAGATATGGAAGTATTTAAAGTACAACATAATTACAAGACTGAAACATGAGAAGCAGAGATATCACTTTATATTGAAGTCCTGGTGTGGCACTGTAGCATAAGCACTGAACTGCTAACCACAAGGTCAACAGTTAAAACCCACAGTTGCTCCTTGGAAGCTCTATACAGGTTTACTATGAGTTGGAACTGACTTGTACTTAACAACAACAACAAAGCAAAAGAGGGAATAGCATAAATATAGAACTTCCAAATGGTGAGGAAGTCAAGTAGATTTCAAGATAAAGCATACTTTTTTTAAACAGCACAAAAAATTTAATAAATTACAAGGTACATCACAATAAAAAAAGGAAAGTTGAAAGATTTACTAAATATCAACACAGCAGAAATAAAAATGAAAAGAAAACCCCAAACAAAATGAACCCAGTGCAGAAAATGATGTGGAATAAAACCACAAAAAGAACACACAGCAAAATGATAGCAATCGATTCAGACCTTAGATAATTACACTGAATGTAAATGGATTAAATAACAGTGGTATTAACTGGACTTCCTTGTAAATGTGTAGCTATTATAATAGACAGCATTGCACTTCAAGATAGATCTTGACTTTTTTCAAAAACCTTTTACTGCAAATTGAGTGAAGCTTTACAGAGCAGATTAACAGTTTTACATTCAACAAATCATATACTTTGCAATGATTGCAATCCCCTCTGTGTATCAACAGTTAACAGTATTTATTTCTATTCACTTTAGCTATTGAATTTCTCCCTCTGTCTCCTGCTACCTTCTTCTGCCCCCTGCTAACCTCCCTCTTGTTGTATACTGCCTACCCTGTCACCCACGTTAACATGTGTCTATACTCTAGCCTGGTGTGGCACTGTAGGTTAATGTGCTAGACCGTAAAGCCGTTTGAACTGCAAGGTCAGCTCACTAGCTGCTCCTTGGAAACCCTATACAGGGTCGCAATGGGTCAGAAACGACTCAACGGCCCTTAACAACAACAAATCTTCTAGCCCACTTGTTGTGTGCCGTGGAGTCGGTTGCGACTCATAACGACCCTGTACGGTTTCCGAGGCTGTAAATCCTTACTGGGAGCAGGAAGCCTCCTCTTTCTCCTGAGGAACAGCTGGTAGTTTCAAATTGCTGACCTTTAGGTTAACAGCCCGATTCGTAACCACTATGCTACCAGAGCTCCTTCTTGTTGTTGTTGTTGTTAAGTGTCGACAAGTGGGTTCCGACCCATAGCGATCCTGTATAGGGTTTCCACGAAGCAGCTGGTGAGCTTGAACCGCCGACCTTAAAAAAGAATGTTTGTTATGAGGACGTTCAGGGGCTGGAGAAGAGTGATTACTACAAGGTAGGGGTGACCAGGCGAAAAACAAAACAAAAAACCAGTGTATTCTAGTGTTCGCCCAGTTTGGTTCTTTTGATGTATTCTATCCAGTAATACCAGGCTTCCGATCACCACTCCCAGCAGCAGGATTATTCTCGGTGGGAGAGCTAGTAAATACAGCTAGGCCTTTTAGGAGCGCGGAACCTCGCATGCGGAGTTCCGGCGGTAGAGCGCTGGGGAAGCGTTTGGGCACTGCACCGCTCTGCGCCATGTCCTTCAACTCGGTTATCGGAGGAGAAAACTTGTGGCTTAGGCCCCGGTGGTGATCGTGGTGGTTTTCCTTGTAGGCGGCGGTCTGAGGCTAGGCCTCAGGGGGAAACGGCATCACCATGATGAGCGGAAGGCCGGGCCGAGTGCCCTTACAGTTTCTGCCGGACGAGGCCCGGAGCCTGCCGCCGCCCAAGCTGACCGACCCGCGGCTTGTCTACTCCGGTTTCTTGGGCTACTGCGCCGGCCTGATTGATAACGCGATCCGGCGGAGGCCGGTGATGTCGGCCGGTGAGGGCTGCGCGGGCGGGGTCCGCGGGAATAGGGGGCTTCGCAGGGCTAAGTGCTGGCTCCGCCTCCGTTTCCGGGGTCTTTTAGCTTAACTGGCTCCTCCTCACCTCCATGGAGTGTTTGCGCCTGTTAGCTCTAAACTGTCCGGCAGGGCTTTATTGTCCTTCGGCACTGGGGTGTAGGGAAGCTAAGACATACACACGACCACACAGTCTGAGGCCCAGGGGCTGTGGTGTGTGCAAAGCTGAGTATCTACTCCTTACCATGCACTGCCAACTCTCCGTGCATTATAACGTTGAATTCTCAAATGCCTATGACAAATGAAGAAACTGAGCTTTAGCAGTTGAAAGCAACTTGCTCAAGGTCATATGGCTTGTAATTAGCAGTATCTGTTTTAGACTCAGTGTGTGGTGGAAAACCAATACTTCTCACTGAGGCTAGGAGTAACCCAGATTTTGTAAAATGGGGATTCTGACCTGGGCAGGGACCTACTATTCGAAGTTGCTCACAAGCTCCCAGGTGCTGCTCAGTCTGGGGATGGCACTTTGAGTTGGGGAAACTCTTTAACTACTAAGGTGTATGCCCTAGTATGTCAGTGGCCTACGGCCAGTAGCTAACACAAAAGCTGTGAAAGGCTTTCCAAAAAGGAGAGACCGGGAAGGAGTGTTTGAATTAAGCTTTGATATATCAAGCAGATATTGGGAACTTTCAGTGAGAACAAATGAAGAAAGCAAAACCGATATTCTTTGCTCTCGAGAGGATTCCAACTCAGAGCGATCCTGTAGAACAGACTAGAACTGCCGGCAGGATTTCTAAGACTAAGTCTTTATGGAAGCAGACTGCTTCATCTTTGTTTCATGGGGAGGCTGGTGAATTCAAACCAACAATTTTTTGGTTAGCAACCCAGCACTTAAGCACTGTGCCACCAGAATTTTTTGGAGCTCTGGTAGCGTAGTGGTTACGAATTAGGCTAGGAACCTCAAGGTCAGCAGTTCGAAACTACCAGCTGTTCTGCGGGAGAAAGATGAGGCTTTCTGCTCCTGTAAAGATTTACACCCTCGGAAACCGTGTACAGGGTCACTGAGTTGGAACAGACTCCACGGCACATAACAACAAAAAGGGATTAGTTTGTAAAAAGGGGGCAAAACAGCTTTTGAAAGCTGGGGAAATCCAGTGATCAGACTTTTGTTTTAAATGGTCAACTTTATCAGAATTGTAAAGTGTGGGTTGTAGCCAAGGAGCCTAGTGGGAGAAGGTCCCTGGGTGGAGCAAATGGCACCAGCATAAAGAATGACAGTTCAGACCCACTGTCAGCACTCCAGAAAGCCCTATGGAGCGATTTTACATGAGGTCATCATGATTTGGAATCGATTTGAAGGCAACAGGTACAGGTAGCTCAGTTAGAAGAAAACTAATGTGATGGTTAAGGCAGCCAGGAATCACTCCACCAGTGTCTGTTTAGCCTTCTTCCAGCTGCATGTCATGCCTGGAGGTTGACTCCAGTCTACCAGATCCCAGCATTTCCAGTACTCAGATAGATATTACTGAAATCCCATCTCACTGGAATGTGACTCCTCACCACTGAAAGGAATGAACTTTGTGCATTTCTGTCTCATGAGGTTTTCTCTCTTTTGGTCGCTTTTCCTCAAGCCTATCTGGAAGTAATGAAAAGACGTCTACTTGGGAACTAATGCCCTTGCTGCCTATTACAGTGGCAGGAAACCTCATTTTCCCCATGGAAGGACTGACCTTTTGGTTAGCAGCCCAGCTCATAATCCACTGTGCTACCATGCTTCTATGTTGTTGTTAAGTGCCAGAGAGTACTTTCCGGCTTATAGCAACCCTGTATAGGGTTTCCAAGGAGTAGCTCGTGGATTCAAACCAAGTACGCTACCAGAGCTTCTTGCACCATACAAATAAATAGGTAGGCGTTATCCCTATTTTATAGATCTCACACTAGTAGGTAATTTCCCAGAATCAAAAGCTAGAAAGGCAGAGCTGGTGTCAAACTCTAAAGCATGTGCTGTTAATCACTGTAATCATTTCCCAGAACCATAAAAAACTGAAATAATATGAGTTTGGTATGAGATTAAGTGGTACTCCTTATTTTTTAACCAACCTTTACTTGTCTGTAACAATGTAACAGTGCTTGGCACAGAGAAAGATCTTAGTAAATGTTAACCAAATATATGATAAAATGTTTGCATAACAAAAGCTAAGGAAATAGGACTGTCTAGCACTTTCTCTGTATCAGGCACTTTACCTGTAGATAAATTCTCACAGCAAATATGTAAAAATTAATTAGTCTCATTTTACAGATGGGGAAACTTTACCAAGTACATTGCCCAAGATGACACAGCTAGAAACAGTGCAGCAAGGACATTAGTTCCTAAATAGAGGTCTTTTCATTACTTCCAGATAATAGATTATACATCTGAATGTAAAAATGTGATTGTTAGTACACATTAAATGATCCTTATTGTCTTTGGGATTTGTCATTTGAATTACAGGTGTGCATCGCCAGCTTCTGTATGTCACTTCCTTTTTTTTTGTTGGATATTACCTTGTAAAACGTCAGGACTATGTATGTGCTGTGAGGGACCATGATATGTTTGCATACATGAAATCACATCCGGAGGATTTTCCTAAAAAAGGTATTTCAAATTAATTATAAAAAAACATTCTTTCTCAGTGTGAGTCTCTCTGGTTAATCGTACACACCTATGGCTTCAGGTGCCTTCTACATTCTGATAACAAACACATCTTAGTTTATAGAATTTTCTTTTCCACCAGTCTCTGTCCCTGATCTTTCTTAGGATTTTGAGTTATGTTGTTCTACATTTTTCTCTCATTCTGCCCAGTACCTTCTAATGTAATCCCTTTCGGTAGCTGGTCACTGTCTCGTTCTTCTGGTTTCCCATGGTTCATTAGTTCTATGGACTAATTCTTTCCATGCACCGTCATTTTTCTTTCCTCCAAATAGGGAGAGAACTTAGATAGCTATTCACAGGCTTTTAAGACCAGTTGCTACTCAACAATTTAGGATTTAAAACATTGTCTTTGTGGACTATGTTATGCCAGTTGACCTTGGTGTACCTTGAGCCCATGGTCCTGAGTCCCTCAGCCCTGTAACTCATTTCCTCAAGGTGCTTCGTTGTGTTGAAGATTTCATAACTTTGCTTCCTGCAAATCATGGATATATTTGCAGCAAAGATAAATACACCTGTACAGATACCCTCTGTCAAAGCTATAGATATTCATGGCTATACTTCAGGCTCTTTTCCACACCTGTTCAGACTGTGTATCTATCCATGCTTTACCCAGAGATCACTGTTACTGTAGGATTGTGTATCTAACAGCATTTACCTCTGTGACCTTTAACTCTTTCCATCCTCCCATTGTTTTCCCTGCCTCCATCATTTTTGGTTGATTGCGTGTTGCCTTCCCCTCACCCAATTTACCATATGTCTACCATCTAGTTAGTAATTTACTTCCCACCCCTGGTAACTATCAAAGGCTTTCTTGTGAAAAGCTTTTCTTGACTCTTTACAATAGGCGATTCATGCAATACTTGTCCTTTTGCTACTAATTTCACTTAGCATAATGTCATCCAGGTTCACCCGTGTTGTGAGATGTTTCACAGACTTGTTATTCTTCAGTATTGTGGTAGTATTCTATTGTGTGTATGTATCATACTGTGTTTACCCATTCTTCCATTGTTGGGCATTTCAGTTGTTTCCGTTTTTTTACTATTGTAAATAGTGCTGCAATAAACATGGTGTGCATATATCAATTTTTGTCACTTCTCAAGAATATGTATCAAGTAGAAGGATTGCTAGGTCACGTGATACTTCGATTTCCAACTTTTTAAGAAAGTATTATACTGTTAAGGAGCTCTGGTAGCATAGTGGTTACAAGTCGGGTTGCCAACCTCAAGGTCAGCAGTTCGAAACTACCAGCAGCTCCGTGGGAGAAAGATGAGGCGTTCTACTCCCATAAAGATTTACAGCCTCAGAAACCCTCTGCAGGGTCACTGTGAGTCGGAACCAACTCTACGGTACTTAACAACAACAACCAAAATGTTGTACACAGTGATTGCATGATTTGACAGAGTTCCATCAGCAGTGTATGAAGGTTCCAGTCTCTCCACCCTTGCCAGCATTTTTTTTTTTTTTTTTTAATTTGCTATTAATGCAGGGTTAGAGACCAGAATTTTCTTGAATTCATCTTTCCAATTTCTGGCTGAGTACCTCCATGTCCTTCATTTACAGCAAACAAAATACATGTCCCCTTCTGCCTTCCCAAACCTCCTGCTCCTCTGTGTCCTGCCTCAGTGAATGGCACCTACCATCTACCTGTGCTTGCAAGCCAGAGGCCTGAGAATCATCTTCAGGTCTTCCTTGCTAACTTTCCAGTGCTAATCGAGTCTTATCAATTCTGCTTCTTCAGTATGTCTGAATTTTGAACTCTTTTCTTTCCTAATGCCATTACCCTAGCTCAAGCCCTGATGACTTCTCCCTTTTTTTTTTTTCCCCATTTCCATTTTTCCACGAGCTTTTTAAAGTTTTCATTATGAATTGAGTGATACTTTACATGGGAGAACATGGGTTTTACACTCATCGTTTCATTGCAATGTTTACAATTTCCTTTATGCATCATCATTCAACAGTATTTGCTTCCATTCCCTCTTTTTGTTTTTTTTCGGAGTAGGCAGTATACACAAAAACACTCAGGAATATATAATCATTTAAACAACCAAAAGGACACATTCTGTAAGCCTGTCTCCTGGCCACCAGCACTTAGTCTTTTCTCTTTCCATGAGTCTAGAGCCCTCAGCTGCTTCTCTCTTTATGCCCTCATTTCTGCCTCTATCTAGTATTGCTGCTTCTCTGGATAGGGTCGTACATTCCGCTCATGCTCTTCTCCCTGGATGGTCCTAGGGTCCTCTTTCTGACTGTAAGATTAGCTACTCCTCCCTCTTGGTTACAAAACATGTACCTTTACGGTTGTGACAGTCGCAATTAGTCATGATAACAATTACTCATTATGAATCATAACAATCTTATCCCTATTCCTTTTCACCAGACCCTTCTAGACAAGATGACAGCTATTCAGTGGGGACTCTTTTCTTTCCCTCTCATACTCTTAAACTAAGCTCCCTCTTGAAACATGTAAGCCAGTCACTTCATGCCTTTATCGCCCCCTCATTTTAGGTAGCCAATGTATAAGTTGCCTATCCCTATAAACCCTGTATACAGCAGAGATAGGATTGATACTTGATATGAAGACTCCTTCTCTCTCAGTTGGTATTTGAGCTACAATGTCTACAACGTCCTTAATATAGGTCAAGTTTGCCCATATGATCTCTTGCTTGGATTGTTGCCCTTGCTTCCAGCCTGTCTTGAGGTCTTCTGCTTATAACAGATATGATCACATCCCTTTGCTTAAAAATGAGAATAAAAAAGCAAACCAAACCAAACATTGCCTCTATGATAAAAATCCATACTTTTTAGGATGGCTTATTTCCCCCTGCTAGTCTGGGTCCCTCACTGGACTGTAGTTTCATCTTTGTTTCCCCAGCCCCTTAGCACAGAGCCTACACATAGTTGTTGTTGTTAAGTGCCATTGCGTCTGTTCTGACCCATAACAATCTTGTATAGGGTTTCTAAGGAGCAGCTGGTGAACTTGAACTGCTGACCTTGTGATTTAAAGCAACTTTATAGTCCAGTGCATTAACCCACAGCACTGCCCCAGGACTCCTACACACAGTAGGCACACTGAGTAAGAACTGACCTGACCTACGCAGAGTCCTGCGTGACTGGACTCCTCAGCACACTCTACTTATCTCTGTTCATCTGTGAATGCAATTGTATTATAATTGTTTTCTTTGTATTTTGTATGTGTCCAGCAATAGTACACATAGCTCTTTATATGCTGGGAGCTTAACGTCATAGGATATTCATTTTCTTGCTCTTTAAGGCTTTCACAGTATTTGCCGCAGGAATTCTTAATGGTTGATAAAATGAATGAGGATAGGAAACTTTTGAACTTGTAAGTAGATTTTCTGTTCATGTAAATGTGTAAAATAAAACATTTAAATGTCATTTGGCCCTATCAAATTCAAAAATTGTGTTGCTCTACTTAGTAACCTCATGGCCTTCAATCACATATGCGGCATTTATGGTTGAACCAAAAAGGGACCGCTCTTTTGCCAGTGAAGAATTTAAAGACTAGTACAAAGCCATAAGTAATGGATGTACTAGGGAATAGGGAATCCTCAGAACTGCTGGGTGTTAGAGCTGGAAGGGATCTTGGAAATATGGATTCTTAAGATGAGATACAGTGACTAATCCATTCTTCAGTCCTAGACCTTCTGGCTGTTTGCCTAGAGGATTTCCACTAGGTCCATCTGTGTGTAGGAGTGAGCTTTACCATGCAGGCTCTTTTCCCTGTGAGCAGCAGATTACCGGTAAGTGTGGGAAGAGCCACATGTACTAGCAGCAAGGACACAGGGAGCTTGACTGCGTGTGTTCCTGACTCTCCTCACATCTTCCTCACCCTGTTCATTCTTGTCAGCACCTCTTTAGTCAGGATACTTCGGGCAGCACCTTGCCCCTCCTGGCAACCATCTGGATGCCACCACAGATTCCTCCAAAGTTACCCTTTATTTTGTGAAATTAAGCCATGGTTGATGTCCAGGAGGTAGGGAAATCCATAGGAATATTGAGTTTTGATTTTCCTTTAGATAGTATGATGTTTAAAACATAATTTAAGTACATTTTACTATTGTGATCTTTCCTCTTATAGATAAGAAAATTTATGCTGAAATTCTTGAAAAATTCTATCCAGTGCGTTGAATTCTTGAAAAATTCTACCCAGTGTGTGGAAGTCTCCAGAGCACGCCAGTTTTGCTGAAGCCTATTATTTCTGGAATAATATGGAACATGTTTGCATAGCATCTGAAGTTTGGTAATCTACATGTTAATACCTTGTAATTAAAATGGTCATCATGCGTATTCTGATTTCTGTGTGTCATAAGAAAGATTTTTCATTAGGGAAAGATCTGTTGCCATTCACCCCGTTTTTTGTTTGTTTTTAAAGTTTTTATTGTGAACTGAGTGATAGTTTACATAGGGGAACATTAGTTATACATTTATCATTTCATTGCAATGATTACCATCTCCTCTGTGCATCATCATTCAACAGTATTTGTTTCTATTCTCTTTTTTTGTGGGGGAGAGGGGTGGCAGATGTACACAGAAACACTCAAGAATATATAATCATTTAAACACCCAAAGGACACATTTTGCAAGCCTGCTTCCTGACCACCAGCACCTGGCTGCCAGCACACAACACAGTCTTTCTCTTTCCCTAAGTCTAGAGTCCTCAGCTGTTCTCTCTCCATGCCCTCATCTCTGTCTCCATCTCTGATTTCATTTCTTCTCTGGATAGGGTCCCACATTCCACTCCTGTTCTCCCTTAATGGTCCTAGGGTTCTCTGTTCCTAGACTAAGATTAACTACTCCCTTCTTTTTGTTACAGTACTTTTACCTTTACAGTTGTGACAGTCACAATTAGTCATAACCATTACTCACTATTGAATCATTAGAATCTTATCCCCATCTCCTTTCACTAGACCCATCTAGACAAGATGAAAAGTATTCAGTGGGGATTCTACCTTCTGCTGCACACTCTGAAACTAAACCGCCACTTGAAAACTTGTAAGCCAGTCACTTCATGCCTTTATAGCTCCTCTTCCCCCATTTTAGGTAGCCAATGGCTAAGTTGCCCATGCCTGTCTATCTTATATACAGAGGGGATAGGATTGATCCTTGACATGGAGACTCCTTCCTTCTAAATTGGTATTTTGAGCTACTACATCCATAAGTATAGGTTAAGTTCATCAAATTGTAACAATTTACACTTGTTTCCTTTATCTAAAAAAAGAAGGTGGTGTTTTTTTGTTTTGTTTTGTTGTTTTAATCTTCCCTTAGTTGAGTTCTGATCATCAAGAAATGGAAGCTAGGTCGAATGGGTTTGAGCTACAAATTTGGGTGTTCTTGTGCATCTCCCTTCACTTTACATCAGGTGGGCGCTTAGCTCTCAGCTCCAGCCCTCCATGGCTATGTTCTTGTCCATGGTCTCAGGAGTCCCCCATTCACCCAGTTTTAAGAGATATCCAATAAATTTAAAAATGGAGTTTGGTTCTAACTTAGAGGGCAGCCAGCTACAGCCCACAAGTCAAATCAAGTCTGGGAAAAGAGTTGTATTGAACAGAGCCATGGTCATCTGTCTACTTGTTTTTATTGCTGTTTCATGGTACAACAGCAGAGTTGAGTAGATGTGACAGAGACTTGATGGCCTGCAAAACTTAATATTTGTCCCTTTATGGGAAAAGTTTGCTTGCTCTTGTTCTAGTCTGTGAGTATGAGTACGGAGCAAGCCAGATTACAAAGGGCTTTTTGTTCCGTCTAGAATAATCATGATTTATTCCTAGAGGGATTGCAAAGTCATTAAAGAGTTTTAAATGGGGATGATGTAAATTTGTATTTCTGAGCTCTCTGCAGCAGTATAGGAATGGTTTGGAAGGAGTAGACTCAAGGCAGGGAGGACAGTTAGGAGTCTAATACTGCAAAGGGGTTTACAAAAATAAATTAAACCAACCATTCCTCCTACAACACGTTGCTTCTCTATTGGGTTTAATAATCCATTGCAATGACCATACAACTCAGGCATCATACTCACAGATAAAGAACATGCTTCACTCCTGGCTCTTTCATGGTAGTGAGATTCTCCCTTATTCTGAATTGGCTCATTTTTCAGTCATGCTAGAGTGTCAAGTTTTTACAATTACTCTGCTACCATCCACAGCTGAATCATATCATCCTATCAGTATCTTCTCCCACCTTCTCTTACACAGACACAGCAGGGCAAAAACGATGTTTTGTAGGAGTTACAGACTATGGCTAGAAGAGACATTAAATAATTCAATATACCACAGGATCTTAGCTGGATAATCCTGAGTAAAGTAGACTCGGTAGCTAAAATCTACAGTGTCGTTTGGTGTAAAAAGATTCTGCCTGACAAATGAGGTTGTACTTTACGGTTTACCAAATCTAAAAGCTTGGCCAAAAAGTCTTGATTCCAAGCTCAGCTTTTATAATTCGATTACATTTTGGAGGTAAAATAGATTTTGTTTTTCTGTTTATATGGTGATTTCAAATGAGGTGGCCAAATTAATCTAAGCAGATAGTTCTTGGGCAAAATCAAATGAGCTTGGTTTCTATTCTCTTAAGTATCACTTGCCAAAAGTGAAATCATGTTGGAGAAAGTATTTTAGAAATGCTAAAGATGTACAAATAGAAGATACTGGTTTTTGTTTTGTTTTTTATTGCTACAGCAATGCAGTTGTACAGTTCACCTGTCTTATGCCTCATTGATAGTTATCAGGCCCACTCATCCAAGGAACTCTGCTGCCCTTTATTTTTGGAGAGTAAAAATAGCTAAAGGAGATACATTGGTGTGGATGGGAGAAAAATCAGGCTATAATAATAGCTCTTACATAACAGATGCTTTTTACTCATTGTCTTGTTTAATTTTCACAACAACCTGGTGAGGTAGGTAATGTTATTATGTCTGTTTTATAAATGAGGAAATTTAGAATTCAGCGGGTTAAATAAATTGTCCAAGATCACACAGCAGATAACCACCAAGAGGAAGGAGGTGACCTTTAATCACATACCAACACCTCTGCTCTTTGTACCTTACCATACCAAACAAGTAACTTTGGTCCCTCATGAACCACCGGCCACAGCCACAAGCTAGTAAGGAATAAGGGAGTTGTGAATAGCAACAAGCATCCTAAAGGTGAGCCAGTGACTCTAGTCCATGAAGCGGTGCTCAAAGGCAGGCAGGGAAGCATCCAGGGGACCAAGTTGACTTCATTTCCAGCTGTAGATCCAGGCCTTTCTGTCTCAACAGTGATTGCGAACTGCCCCATGTCCTTCTTCCAGAGTCTGCCTTCTACAGTGATCTGTGGAATGTAGATTTTTTAAAAGCCAACTTGGCAAAATTTGAACAAGTAAGATACTGTCACAAGCCTATTGAAATGAGAAAAGGTTCTGTGCTGGTATTTCTGCAGGAGAGCTGGCAAGGCTGCAGCTTTCCCCATTACACCACCAGTGCCTCTTTCATCTGTGTTATTGCTGTGAAGTGGCATTGAGTCTGGGTAGGGTTTCTGCCGGGTGTTAAACCTTTGCAGGAGCAGAAAACCTCATTTTGCTCTGTGGAATGGGCTCAAACTGCTGACCTTGTGGCTCCCAGTCCAGTGCTTATCTTATGCTTCCACATATCTGATATGTTGTTAAGCATCCTCGTCAGCTTTGACTTATAGTGACCCCATACAGAGTTTCTGTGGAGCAGCTGGTGAGTTTGAACCATGGACCTTACAGTCAAGTGCTTATTGTACGGCACTGCAGTAAGAATCCTGATACCAGAGTAAGGATGACTCTTGTTTCACCTCTACTTTTTACTAACAGAAACGGAGAGAATGGTGCAATTAGTTGTCCAGGGTCATAGAGCTCAGTGACAGAGGCAAGACAAAAGTTCAGATTATTTTTTTGACTCCTATTATCAAATATTGACTCCTGGTATGGTGCTGTGGGTTAATGTGCTGCACTACAAGGCCTGTTTAAACCACAAGGTCGGTGATTCAAGCTTACCAGCCACTCCTTGGAAACCCTATACAGGGTTGCTATCAGTTGGATCTGACTCTATGGCACTTAACCAACAACATAGCAAATATAAGAGTCCTACTGTGGTGCCATACTGTAAGCACTTGACCACAAGGTAGGTGGTTCAAACTCACCAGCTGCTCCTCGGAAACTCTGTACAGGGTCGCTATTGAGTCAGAGCTGGTGAGGATGCTTAACAACAACATATCAGAAATGTGTGAGCACTGTGGCTCCATAAGATAAACACTGGACTGTGAACCACAAGGTCAGCAGTTTGAGCCCATTCCACAGAGAAAGATGAGGCTTTCTGCTCCTGCAGATTTAAAACCCCTCAGAAACCCTACACAGACTCAGTGCCACTTCACAGCAATAACACAGATGAAAGAGGGACTAGTGGTGTAGTGGGATACACATTGGCCTGTCCACCACAAGTTCAGCACTTCAAACCCCCATCTGCTCCAAGAGAGGAAGATGTGGCTTTCTGTTCCCATAAAGATTTGGAAACTTGAAACCCTCTGCAACTTTGCTATGAGTTAGAAATAACTTGGTGGTGCACAACATACCACATATAGTGGTGGTGTTGATGGCTGTGTGCTATCGAGTTGGTTCTGTATAGGGCTTCCAAGACTGCTAAACTTTAGAGAAGCAGAAAACCTCACCTTTCTCCCTTAGATTGGCTGGGAGATTCAAACTGCTGACCTTGCTGTTAGCAGCAAAACTCAATCCATTAGCTACCACTAGGCGCCTTACCACCTATAGTAGTTAGTATTGCTATTGTTTAAAGGACTGTCAAGTTGGTTCCAACTCATAATGACCCTGTATAGAGTTTCCAAGAAGTGTCTGGTGGCTTTGAACTGGTGACCTAGTGGTTAGCAGTCCAGTGCGTATCCTACAGTGCCACACCAGGACTCCATACTACATATATTGCTGTTAAGTGCAATTGAGTAGTTCCGACTCACAGTGACCCTGTATAGGGTTTCTGAGAATTGGCTAGTGGATATGAACTCCCAATCTTGCGGTTAGCAGTCCAGTGCTTATCCTATAGCACCACACCAGGACTCCATACCACAGATAGTAGGAGTCAAAAATATAGGAGTCCTGGTGTGCTGTAGGATAAGCATTGTGCAACTGACCACAAGCTTGGCAATTCAAATCCACCAGCCACTCCTCAAAAACTCTTATACAGAGTCACTATGAGTCAGAATTGGCTCAACAGCACTTAATAATAACACCACATATAAGCAATGAATTGCTAACCACAAAGTCGGCAGTTCAGACCCACCAGAGGTTGCAGTTCCACAAGAGAAAGATAACGCTGTCTGCTCCTGTAAAGATTTACAGTCTCACGGAGTGTGATGATGCGGGCTGATGCACTAGACTGTAATCGGCAGTTCAAACTCACCAGCCGCTCCTCGGAAACCCTATACAGGGTCGCTGTGAGTCAGAACCGTCTCAGTGGCACTTAACAACAACAGGGTTGCTATGAGTTGGAATTGACTTGATGGCATTGGTTTTTTGGTTATACCATACCGCCTCCAGGAATGAAAGTCTATATTATGTTAGGGTGTGTTGAGACATTATGATGTAGAATTGCTGCTCTAGTCTTTGAGGTACTTTGGTTGCTTAAGGAGTGGATTGTCTACTCAACTCTGCCATCCAATTCCTGTCTTGAGCCCAGACTACAGAATTCTAAAGTTCTAAGGGTTGCTATGAATCAGCAACAACAAGAAGAAGGAGCACAGAAAAATCCCTCTGTGTAGAGGAAAGGAATTAGACTCAAGTTAGACCAGGGTTCACATCTTGGCACACCATTTACTGAGAAGCCTTGGACTCTGTCTACTTCTCAGGCTCTCAGTTTGTTCATCTGTGAAATGGGAGTGACAAATCCATTAAATAATGGCTGTGCAAATGCTTTTAAAATTATAAAACATTCTTCAAATGGCAGGTGTTATTTTTACTATTCTATTACTAGTCAGTGAAGAAACAAACCCAGAGTAGTGAAGTGGCATACCCAAGTCTTCCCAGCTCAAAAGTGGTGGAAACATGACTTGAACCCAGGGCTGTTGACCCATCTCAGCTTTACAAAAGAAGACCCTTTGAAAGGTGGCCTTGAGAGCCTCATGAAGAAAGGCAAGTAGAGTTGAGGTTGGCAGTCTGGGTTTGAGGTGGGGAAAAGAAAACTCTGAGAAAAATACCTGAAACAGAGCTCTCTGCAAAACCTCTGAGTTTTGGGGTCCATTTATGTTCCCCATCGTGCTTCCGAAAAGCCGGTTATGAAGACAACACTATACAGCAGACAATGAATTCAGTGGAAAGAGTCCACACAGAGGGCCTCCCAACGGGCATGACTCCATATACTGCTAGACTTGTAATGACTTTCCATTTGACCACTGGGACCTGGGCTGGCCAGAGAACCTCTGCCAGTGGCAGGGACACTTTGAGTCATCTCACGTCATACTGTCCTGTACCACATAAATGGAATCCTCCATCTTCTGTGCCTGGAAAAAAGATGAGGAAGGCCTGCCACAAAAGTAGAACTCACAGTGCACACCTGAATAATAGCCAGGCTTTGGGCAAGGTCTTTCCTTTGTAAACTAGAAATAATAGAACCCATTACTATGAAGTAATAGTAATACAAAGATATTCATTACAAAGTATTATAAAGTAATACTTGGTAGTATTAATACTTCATAGTAATACTACTACAAAAAATATTACTATGAAATAATTCTGTCAAGGACTTACTTGGCACTTAGTATATGCTCAAACCATGGCTATTATTAAGATAAGAACAGGAGTTCTTATCTATGGATGGGCCATGGTGGAAGGCATATCTCCTGAAATTATATGTACATACAATTATGTATGGACCCAGGGGAGAGGTCCATATATTAAACCAAATTTTTAAATTGACAGAATACACTCAGATTCAATTTACACATCTACAAACATTCACCTACTTACAAATAAATACACATGTGCATAAGCATACATGTGCATACAAGTGACTCTGTCTCCTCCAATTCTAGATCAAAAGGATAGTACAGCGGGGCTGGTGTTGAGCCCTCCCAGGTTGTGGGTATCTGTGTGTGACAACTGGGCTTTCCGTCTCCCTGTCTGCCCCTGGAACATCCCTTTGGTGCAAGGCCACCATTACCTTCCCAGTGTCCATGGCCTACATGGCCTGTCCTGTTATCTCCTGGTATTTCCTTGTCACCTCTTCAGCTTTCAGGGTCAGGTGGGTGAGGATATGATGGAGGCTAGAGAAGTGTAGGTGGAACTGGGCTTCCAGGTCCAGCTCTCCAGAGACCTCTTTCTTGCTCTCCTTCATCTCGGCAGCTTCGTTCTCAGCCTCGTTATCAGCTTCACTGTCTACCAGCTTGGCCTGCCACTCCTCTCGGGGCAGCAGCCCATGGTCTACGTCCACGAGGATGGCCTTGAGCATAGTAAAGTATTTGTAGAGATCAGGGGCACCCTCCTGGATCTGGCCCCCATGCCCACTGAGCTGCAGATCCAACAGAAGGCTGGGGATCATCACCACCTGCTCCATGTTGCGAACAGTGGCCGAGTACCTGTCCATGACAGTCAGTAGACAGTTCTTGGGGTAGCGCTTGTTTAGCATTTGCATGGTTGCTCCCTTTGCCACGCTGACTCTGGTTGCCTTCTCTAGCACTATTTCTAGGCTCCAGATCTAACAACAGTTTGAAGGAATGCCAACGCCCAGCTGCAGGTCAACACAGCTCTGATTTAAGCCAATCCCAGGGCTCAGACCCCAACGTCTGTGTCAGGCGATCTGTCTGCCCAAGGACAGACCTGCCAGCTTTCTGCTTGTCATGTCAGCGCTGCCCAGCTACCTCTGCAAGAGCCAGGCCCCTCCTTCATCAGCTTGGAGGACCAATTGGAGGGAAGCATTTTCTTTGGCAGCTGGTGTTCTTGACCCCAGGGCAGTAAATAAAATTTTCAGGTCACTTGTGGCCATGCTACCTCTTTGTAGCCTGCTTAGGCTAATGCATGCCTCACTTCTTCAACCTGGAGCCCCTCAGCTGTGAAATGAATAAAGGAAAAGAGTTGTGAAATGAAATTGCTCTGTGTGGGGCAAAGAGCAGCTAAGTAACAGCCATAGGGCAGTCCTGCCAATGTTTTTGTTTGTTTGTGTGGTCAACATTTGTTTAGCAACTACTATTTACTGGGTTCCGTCATTTAGTCTTCACACCCGTATAACAAATACACTTTTATTTTTTAATATTTT